TGCCCAGGCAGGTCTTGAACCTGCAGGCTCAGGCAATCCACTTACCTCAGCCTCCCAAAGGTGCGGGATTACAGGCTGAGCCACCGAGCCTGGGTGGGACAGCTACGTTAGGCTGAGCCACCGAGCCCGGCTGGGACAGCTACGTTATAACGAATATTTTATGTTAGGCCTGTGCTAGGCATGTGGCATCTGAACCTGTGAAAGGGACCCAGGAATGTGTTCAAGAGGGTGTGAGTTGTTCAAATAGAAGAAAAAGTTCTGGAAATGCTTCCAAAGAATGAATGGTTAGACTTGATGAAGTTTTATAATAAATGATAGAGGAAACAGGAGGATGAAATTACTTCAAATTTCTGATATGAGAAAAATTTTATTTTTTGAGTCAGGGTCTTGCTCCTTTGCCCAGGCTGGAGTACAGTGGCACAATCATAGCTCACTGCAGCTTCCAACTCCTGGGCTCAAGCGATCCTTTCACCTCAGCCTCCCAAATAGCTGGGGCTACAGGGGTGCACCACCACACCTGGCTAACATTTTTTTGTTGCTGTGTTGCTTACGCTGTTCTTGAACTTCTGGTGTGAGGCAGTCCTCCTACCTTGGCCTCCCAAAGTGCCGGGATTACAGGCATTAGCCATTGTGCCCGGCCATCTGGTCTGAGAGAAAATTTAGTTATTTATTTAGAGTTGGAGTCTCATTCCGTCGCCCAGGCTGGAATGGAGTGTCATCCTCACGGCCACCGTAACCTTAACCTGCTGGGCTCAGGTGATCTTCCACCTCAGTCTTCCAAGGAGCTGGAACCACAGTTACATGCCACCATGCCTGGCTAATTTTTTGATTTACTGAAGTCTCACCAAGTTGCCCAGGCAGGCCTCCAACCCCTGGACTCAGGCAATTCTCTTGTCTCCACCTCCCAAAGTGTTAGGATTACAGGCATGAGCCACTGCACCTGGTGAGAAAAAAAATTTTATACCAAAGAATAACTGGGAAGGAAATTTGTTACTTTTAGTTTTGATTACTGATGGGAATAATCAGATAAGCATAACCTGTAGAAGACTGCTTCCAGGTGGCAGATTGTTTCATGATTCCATTTAGGTATGGGACCAGGGTTCAAGTGGGAGATTCAGGTTGGTGATGTGAGTGAGACCTGAATCCTTTCAGAAGGGATGGGGACAGTTGACAGAAACTTGGGCAATGAACACCCAGGCTTTATAGATGGAAAGGACGGCAAAGGAAGGTTCCTGACTCTCTGCTTGCAGTCCCATCCACTGCAGTAGTTTTCCAGTTCTTCCATTCTACTGCCAACTTCAGATGGAGTCCCAGGGAGTTCTTCTCCGTCACGGTGACACTATTCAGGTTCTGCCTTCTTGCGTTTTTTGTTGACGAGATATGAGTCGTATACCCTAAGATTTACGCCTTTAAAGTATCCAGCTCAGTGGTTTTCACTATATGCACAAGGTTGTAAAACCATCACCACTAATTCCAGAACATTTTTATTGCCCCCCAGTGAAACTCTGTTCCTATGAGCAGTTATTCACCGTTCTCTGACTCCTTGTAACCTCTGCTCTACTTTGTTTCTATGGATTTGTTTATTCTGGACATTTCAGGGAAATGGATTCATCAACTGTGTGACACTTTGTGACCGGCTTCTTTCACTTAGCGTGTTTTCAAGGCACATCCATGTTGTAGCATGTACCAAACTTCATTATTTTTTTAAGGCTGAGTAATCCATTGTATGGCTCTGCTGCCGTTTGTCTACTGTTGGCGGACGTTTGAGTTGTTTCCACTTCTTGACTATTGTGAATAATGCTGCTGCGAACATTTGTGTGCAAGTTTTTGCGTGAACATGTGTTTTCCGTTTTCTTGGGCATGTACCCAGAGGTGTAATTGCTGGGTCATACGGTAACTCCGGTTAACTCTCGGAAGAACGGCCCAACTGCCTTCTGCAGCGGCTGCACCATTTTGTGACCCCTCCAGCAACGTACAAGTGTGCTAACCTCACCACATCGTCACCAACACTTATTTTGCATTTTAAAAATTATGGCCGCCTCGGTGGGAACTGGTGTCTTGTTGTGGTTTTTGATTTTTCATTTCTCTGAGGACCAGTGGCATCTGGTATATTTTCATGGACTTACTGACCATTTGTATATCTTCTTTGGAGAAACATCTGTTCAAATCCTCTGCGCGTTTTATTTTATTTTATTTTTTGAGTTGGAGTCTCACTGTCGCCCAGAC